TCTCTCGCAGTTATATCGTTGGGTAATTATACTGTATATAAAATGCGGGCATCAGGGAGCCGCTATTGATATGTGGGGCACTGGAACTGCTTACAAATGCACGATCGTTTTACTTTCACTTTCGAGATTTGCGATCGCACGTGCTCTGTGTAAACTACAGCGAAAGTACTTACCACACATTTTACAGAATCAGATGCTTGTCAGTGGTGCTCAGGATCTGTAAATCATTCGCCATCGTCCTCAGTCATCTCTCCTTACTCTGTTTATGTGATGAGTGAAATCTTATGTACTGTAATGTAACAGGCTACCGCTAGCAAGCAGCTAACACGTCCCTTTAGTGGCTCCCGTTATTTTATTAGAACGCGCGTTATTGTGCCTTTCTGAATACAGACACCAACCCATTCCTGCACAGCCTGGAACATTACATTTGTTTCCATGATCTGCCATTTTCGCTATTATCCTCGCTTGTTTCTTCACAACACCTGCAGGACTTCTGATGATCCGGCTGTGCAGGTGCGGCTGGCATAGAACATGGGCGGGTTTATGCAAATGTAGGGAGCGTAACTATTAGTGATCCCGACGGTAATGTCACAGTCGGTGTTATGTTCTGAGTCGCTTGTTTTTCAGTGGTCTTTTGCATGCACAAGATTTACATAAGGAGGAGGAAACAATGGTGTTTGAGGCTCACGGTATGTCATTTCCATGCACAGAACTGTTATTATTCAACTATGCCAAGTAAATACAGTTTTCCATTCTATGGCACCTTTAAACAAACTTTATTAATTTGAAGCAAACCACAAAACAAAACAACACATATTAGCATCACTACAAATCATCAGTATAACCTAATTATCAGCATAGATGGGGTTAAACTGTTCTTGTTAAATACACTGTGTGTGTGTGTGTGTGTGTGTGTGTGTGTGTGTGAGCATGTCACATGACCATCCCTCCGCCCATGATCTCCAGTCTCTGTGTAGAAGACAAACGCAAACGAGTGAGAGGAATGTGAAAGCACACACAAACACAAGCTCATGAATTATTCACGCACCTGAGGCGGCTCTATGAACGCCAGCCAATCAGACGAGTGCGTCGGGAGGAGCCCCATTGATTGACACTTGTAGATGGCCAGAGCGGATCCCAGCAGATTCCCGATCAGATACACCAGACCCTGCAGCCACTGCTGACTGGAGCTCTCCAACAGCTTAAACGCTTCACAAACACACACACATGAGAGCCTGTTGTTTATGATGAGTGTGTGAG